TTTTTTTTTTTTTTTTTTTTTTTTTTTTTTTTTTTTTTTTTGTTTTTTTTTTTTTTTTTTTTTTTTTTTTTTTTTTTGTGGGGGGGGGGGGGGGGGGGGGGGTTATATACGTCCAGTTAAGCTTTTTTTATTTGATGTTCGTTACATTCATTTTTTTTGGAGGGTTTGATACATTCATTGTATTCGTTTTTTGGGGTTTGGTTCGTTCATTACGCAACTTTTTCGAAAACGTTAGTTTATTTTTCTAATTATCATATATCATTGTCATGTATATTTTTCTGTTATTTTTAAATAAAAAATTGATTTATTATATAATTGTACATGTAATATAAGTTGACACGAGCGAAATGTTTAGTGTAAGTGATGCCAAGGGAAAACCAGATTTTAATCATATATGATCAAAGTCTGATTTTCTTTGGCATCACTCATATAAACCCACGATCTGGATTGTCACAATAAAGTGATGTAGTAAAAAGTAAAATCCTGTAAATTGTAAGATTAAACGGATGGATTCTAAATTGGTACGCATGAGATATTATAAACTCGAGTTTAGTTATCGTAGCAGAAGTAGATAACCCTTTTTTTTAATATACGGACTAGTCTTGTACCTGGTACAGGATAAAAAGCCTATACCCCGGGTATAGGATAAGGACGCTCTATTTATATATCACGTGATAAATGGTACGGTTTGTCTGAATGGTTGTACTGTACATACTTATGAATTGTTATCAATAATTAATTTGCTCGACATGCTGACCTAAAATGTTTTAAAGCAACGGATATTTCCAACTAACACGGAAAAGAACAGACGGACTTGTCCTCTTGATATTATCTATCATTCTTAATTATAGATTATTAGTTCTGAGCACACAATGCTATGCATTGCCTAATTTAATTTTTATTTATTTCTTAATCGAGTGTTTGCCGTTTTTTTTTCTTTTACCTGAATACCGTCTCATTAAGGGGGATCGCTAAAGCGGGATAAACTCACCTATTTAATTAAAATTAGGGTTAGGGTTAGGTTAGAGTTAGGATAAGGGTGGTTATTATATGTAAAATTTCCTTCCCGCCATTTTTTACTAGAACTCAAAAGTAGGTTTAAACATCCATTTTCTCGTATTATTCATATTTGTACTTTTTTTTTTTTTTTTCTGTTAGAAATTCGTAATCTGATTGGACCTTTCATTAAGGAAATTTTTGTGAAGCGCCAAGAAAACTTAATAAAATTTAGATCTAGAATAAGGTTATGCATTTAAAAAAAAAACTTTTTTCAATGACAAAGTTGCATAAGAGTTTTTTTAAAAAAAAAAATGGTTTTTTTTTTTAAAAATGAAAAACATTTTACCAAATAATCAATGGTTAAGGTTTGACATATTTACATATTATACCGTTTCACATTTAAACAATTAAAACAAATTCATTGCCACGAGGGTGAAAAACTTATCTTTAAGGAGATTTCCCATAAAATATATTTTTTAATATATATATGTATAAATTTTTTTTAAATCCAAAAGAGTTGAATTTCAAAAACCAAATTTACAAACAAAAAAAAATAATTTTTTTTTTTTTTTCTACATAAATATAAAATATAATACCACGCAAAAAAAAAAAAAAAAAAAAAGTTACCCAATTTCCAATATCACGTGATAGATATTCTAATCACGTAAAAATAGTTGTCTAAACGCAAATGAAACACAAAAGAATTCAAAAAAAAAAAAAATTCAAAGTTTTTAATAAAAAACAAACTTTGGGTTTTTTTTTCGTGTTTTGTGGAACAAAATTGACAAATATTTTCTTTCCATATTAATAAAAAAAACATATATATATATAATATCTGAATAATTTTTTTTTAAAAGTAACGAAAAAAGTTATAAAATAATTTAACGAATCGTATAAACGAATTAAGAAAGAAAAAAAAAAACTTTACAAAACGAAGCTATACAAATATTACAAAAAAAAATTGTTTTTTAAAAACAAAAAAAAAAAAAAGAAAGATTTTATATTAAAAGGGTTATTTTTTTTTTTTTTTTTTTTTTTTTTTTTTTTATAAAAGAACTCAAAAACTAGGAATATATGAAAAATAATATCCGTCTTTACAATATAAAATATTATACTACATAGGAAAATCATAATGCCCGCATACCATCTTAATATGTAAATGAATTTTTTTTTTTTCTCACGAAAAAATTTTGTTTATATATTATTAATCCAATTCTTTGGATTATTTATTACTCAAAATAGCCAAACGTTTATTTTTGTTTTAAATTTTTTTTTTTTTTATAATTTTTTTTTATAATTTTTATCTCCCAACCATCCGTGTCTCTAGTCAATATGGAGTATCATACATAAAATTAGTAGGTGACATATGAACAGGTTGATATCCTTCATTCTTTATCAGAGATGAATAATATGGTGAAGAATAATTAGAGTTGAAACCAGAGTTTACGGGCGAATTAAGCGGCGGTGTTACAGGTGCATTACTTGAACTATAGGTACTGGTAGTACTTGCAGGAGAAGAAATAGAAGGAAGTGTTGGAGATGGAGAATTCACTTGATATTCATGTTGATGTAATTGAGAATGTGATATAGAATTTGTAGTAGATGAATGGACAGGATTGTATATCTCGGAGAATGACGTAGATGATAAATCATGATATGGATATACGATAGTACTGCTGGTTGAATTATTACCAGTAGTGGTATTATTAGTATAAAACACTTCGCTACCAGTTTCTGCATGAGGATTGTTCGATTGAGCTTGATGATTCATAGATGGATGAAGAGCGTGAGGCGCATTTGATGAATATGACGGATATTGATAACCTGACCAATTTTGATTGCTTGTATTATTTGGCGTTGTATGATAATTATAATCGCTTTGGTGTGAACTAATACTAGGAATTAACGGTTGTTGGTGCGAAGTTAACAACCTTGACGACGTAATATTATTAACATGAGAAGTAATTGGAGGAAATTCATGAAAAGATGATTGACGATTCATTAATGCTCGCATTGGAGGCATGGAAAAGGTATGTGACCCATCAGACTCATGACTTTGTGAAGCATATGGAGAAAAATTGGATGTTGGATGCATCGTAGATGGATAATTTGAATAGGGCGAAGGGATACAAGAATTGGAAGCTTCCATTTCCATCTTTATACGAGAAGGAGAAAAATCCATATTAGATAGTCGTGCGGGACTCACAGTACCATCACCTGGTTTTGGGAGGATAGCATGTGGTGAAGCAGAAGATTGTTTTCCATATGTCATACCATCCAATTCTATATAAAAAATTGATAATCAATTTTTTTTTTTTTTTTTTTTTTTATTAATAATTTTGATAATTAAAAATTGTTTTTTTTTTTAAAAAAAAAAAATTGCTTACCTTGTTCATAATTTGACTCAACTACTGGTGGTATTCTAAAATTTTGCTTTAACAAAAATTCAGGTGAAATCTCTAGAATGGCTAAATTTGGCATTGAAGATGGAGTTTTAAGTTTACAAGCCAATACATCTTCTTTTGTATAATAACTAATCATATGTTGACTAACACCGTTGACCATGATTGACATAGTTTTTTTAATTAAACCACCTTTTTTGAAACGATAAGTGTTTGTTAAGCTACCAACTAATGCGCGTTCCTTATTTTTTTCTGATTGTGATTCCATATCTACACTGTCACTTCTCTGACGTTCCACTGGAGGAGAATCTTTTTTTCCAGTAGGTGGACGTTTATCTAATTCTCGATAAATTAAAAAATTACCAAGAATTCTTGATGGACTCCACACTAAACCATCTGTCCAACGTTTTATTCCAGATTCGCGTTCGTCAAATACGAATACACTTCCTGAAGATATGATCTTACGCTCTTTCTCTTGAAGGCGTCGACAAATCTTTGTAAGGCAACCTTTTCGACATGCTTCAAATATGAGAAGTGTGTCTTGTGTCGTTTCGATATAACCATGAAATGTTGGTTCGATGCTCATAATTACAAAAAAATTATCTCGTTAAAAATATGTCAATTATTTACTTTCAATAAGAACAAGAGAAAATATTATTGACGCGACTTTTATGGAAAGCAAGGATGAAATAAATTATAAGAGCAGAGTAGAAATTTTTATGTTAAAAATTTTCATCCAGGAGAAAAATTAACGATTTGAGGTTGCTTTACTCCGGCTTCCTGAGGGAAGGGGGGGTTTAGTTGTCTTATATGT